TATGCCAGGCGCGTCGCAGCGTAACAGTGTTTCGTGAGATATCGCGAAGCCTGTTACGCGAGACGTGGTCTGGCGTACATCTACCTAGTTTCTATTACAGGTGGCAATGCCAGTCTCACGAAAAATGGGTATCCATGGAATTGTCACCCTTCATTACCCTTCTCGACGGATGAACCCTCCAGAGGCAGTACTCCTTACACCCGTTTGTCTGACCAGAACGAAGGTTATGATGCCCATTGTCAGTGACTCACCTGCCTCAATAAGGTAGCCATCATGGAAAAGGCTTAATTGTTGTCTTTAGTCAAGGCTGTCACCAATAAACCCCAACTCTCGGTTTTACTCAGTAAGTAATGCGTTGCAAGTCTGTTTCATCAAAGCTGTATCTGCCAAATCACCTCCCATTCCTCCCCGTTAAGACTAGGACTTTGTTGTGTGTCGTTGTGCTTTGGTCTTGCACTTGTGAATGAAATCACCAGCCTACCTATGGAGGTTAGCTTTATGATGTTTTGATTGGCTAGCTCCACTAATCAAGAACACATCTTTTGCGTTGCAGGTACAAGTTCCTTCTTGCCCTTCGCTGTCAAAGTCTTCTGGGCCACGATCATCCTTATGGGCCATTTCTCTCTGCAGTAGTATTTATATTCGTCTCTTCCTTCCCATCTGATAACAGTATGTATTCAAGTGGCTCACCTTTCTCTCTTCCAGCCCTATAGCGGTTATTCTTATTGCTGTCTCATTTTGTTTGCAGGAAGTGCATTGACTCTCAAGAATAGCCTTCATGTTCCTCGTATCCAACTACTCAAAGCAGGAGCAAAAGATATATTTTGAAGAACTTGATTCCAAACAATTTCTGTGAAGCATAATGTCAAGCATGTCATCTAATTCCACTTTCTGTTGTTGTTTATCTTTTTTTTTCTATTTTCCATTTTATCTGGTAAAAAATGTATGTTTTCTCAGACGAATAGACTCCACTTTAGTTTGACTTTTATTCTGCTTTTCTCTGGTATTGCAGTGTGCTCATGCACACAACATTTGTTTTTGTTTTTTATTTCTCTTGAAAATTCTACCAGACTTTTTTTTAAGTCCTTTGTAATCCTTCCAAATTTTTATTAAATCATCTTTTAACATTGT